GGGGCTGGGGTTCCCCAGGCCGGATGGAGCTCAGGCAGCAGGAGCCAGGGCTGTGGTTCCAGAGGGAGCAGGACCTGGGGCCGGGGTTCCAGAAGGATCTGGACAGAGCTCAGGCAGCCAGAATGCCCAGCCCTTGAGCTGCCCTGTGAAGGAGCCATGGAGGGTTGGCTCTGTCTCACCCRGGAAGGGGGAGCRAGGCTGGGAGGCTGCAGGAGCWGAGCACAGCCCCTCCCTCTGTCTCTGTGACAGCTGCAGAAATCCTGGGAACCCTTTGGAACCGAATTCCCCGACTTTCTGCACCCACAGCTTTCCAAAGAGCCGTGGGACTCCCAGAGCCAGCAACTGGGAGCCCTGTCTCGCCCTGCCCCTTGGGTTTTAAAATGTCCAGAGCCTGAATTAGAAGGAAGGATGTGCCTGGGSCTGGCTGATTCCGGGTTTTTCAAGAGACGCTCCGACACCTTCCCCTTTTTGCCACGCAGCAAATGAACGCTGCAGTTTGCTCATGAGCTGCCAGGAGAAGGACAAATATCCAGACCTCGTTACATGAGGACAGGGCAGAGTTACCACGAGTTCAGTTCAGCTCCCACCGCAGCTCTGGGGTCAGGGGTGGGATGGGATGGAATGGGATGGGATGGGATGGGATGCCATGGGATGCCATGGGATGCCATGGGATGCCATGGGATGGGATGGGATGCCATGGGATGCCATGGGATGCCATGGGATGCCATGGGATGCCATGGGATGGGATGCCATGGGATGCCATGGGATGCCATGGGATGCCATGGGATGGGATCATCTTGCCAGTCCCTTCCAGCCCAAACCTTTCTGTGATTCCATGATTCCACGGAGATCTCCCAAACCTGGGCTCAGACATGGATTTCTCACTGCACATCATCTCTGGGTGGGTGCAGAGCYTCAGGGCCGGGACTGAGCCCACGGCTCTGGACCTGCTCCCATCTCCCAGCCCACAAAACTCAGGATAGAACAAACCCTGGACTCTGGGTTTGATGGTCCAGCTGGAAAACTCGGAGAGAATCATTCCAGTTCACTGTGAAAAAAGAACATTTGGAGATTTTCTTCAAATAATAAAAGAAGTGATGGTTTGTCAATGGAGYAGCACAGCCACACTCACAGGGAGATCTTTGATCTTTTTGTGGTTCTTTTTATGCTTTATAATATTGGGATTGCAGCTCCTCAACTCTGCAGGGAAATGCAAGTTCYAAACTTGAAACCTGGATAAAAACCATTGAAACCAAACTCATTGGAACAAAACTCATGACTTTGTCACTTCTCCATCCTCCTCCTGCAGGCAGTTAAATCCAAAATATTAACAAACTGATAACTTTTGTCCCAGTAATTCCTGGGATTTAAACCYTTTGTGTTTGGCTCTCCTGGAGCCTCATCCATCCAATGTTCCCTGGAGATAAAATCCATGCTGGGAATTTGGCCCAAGGCCCTGAATTGTGTTTTTTTTTTTGCTTTGTCCTGCAGGTGATGAGTGTCCTGCTGCTGATCGAGTATTCCCTGGAGGTGGCCAATGGGAAGGGCTTCTGCAAGGACCTGGACAAGGATTATTACAGAATTGGTGGGTGCTGGCAATGCTGGGAAGCAGC